ATGAATAAGCCTGACAAGCACTATCGAAAGATTCTACCGGATTTTATCTCTTGAGCTCTCCCCTTCGACATATCATTTGTTTGTTACTTCTTCTCTCATCCTACGGAACTTGCGCGTGATTTTTCTTCATCCACCATCCGGCGGTTATGCAAACACTTAAGACATCGCGCACTATTTATTTTCCAATGACAGGGTGAAGCTAAAGAACTCGTCAGTTTCGAGGAAAAGATTTGATGTATGTTTGAAATATATCCCATTGATTTTGCAACTGTGATCGGCTGTTAGCTGTAGAACTCAATAGAGATGATAATCTACACGGCTGTGGTACAACTTCCCCGAAAACCGCGTTGCGTTCGCCGCAACCGATCGTGCGCCTTTGCGCGCCATGAAAGGGAGGTTGAATTCTCAATGGGAAATATGGTAGTCGCCGCTCAATCGCTGCCGCTTGCCGTGGGAATTCAGGGAGAAGTACCCCCAGTGAGCCTACACAGGCTAAATTTATCTATCTTACCATTCCTTTTTCCATCCGCTTCTTTGTATGGTGTTTCGTGGAGTACCGAATCCTGTCATTCCTCTCTGAAAATATTTTCTATAAAATAAAGTTTTTCTGGATGAGTACGATTCAAAGAGAATGTCATCATATAGTTGGAGGCACAGTTCACGACAAAAATGGGGTTCCTGAAAAATACCCTCTGTGGCGTTCCAATATACTCTAGGCGATGCTGTCAGATCGATAAACGGCCTTGATAGATCATTATAACGGCTCAGAGATTGTATCTGTTGGATGGCACACCCAGGAGCGGACGAGTTGCAGTGGCGTTGTAAAAGCTACACCATTCACAAGGAAACGCATGTAGGAAGTTCAGCAACTTGTCATGACCCAGAGCGACAGTGAAGAAGGCAGTTCTGTACAACTTTGACCTGATGTAGTCAGCTCTTTACGCAATTGTAACGACTGAAATCTCGTCCAAATACCCCTCCCATGTCATTTCTGTAATGGCGATCTCGTCCAACCTCTGGTTTCCCTACTTTTGAGGAGCATTTTTCTCGAAATCTGTGAATTGTCTCCTTTCTCACTACCGATGCACTACTCCCAACCAATACTTTCGCTTTTCGTCCTAAAAATGGGTACCCTCAACAGTATCGTGAACTGTGCCTTTACCTTTTTATTGCATTGGATTACCTGAGACGCTAGTTTGTTTGTTCCTGATTGCAATGGAACAATTCCTTCGGACTTCTGCTTAAGCTCGTCGTCTATTTCTTTTCCTCCCTAAAAAGATCAGGGTCTGAATTTACATTGGGCCCAATAATCTCGAAATAAACTTGCCTTAGAGTGAACTATGACATCTCGAACTTTCAAAAATCCTCCACTACCAGCTTGTGTTGCAAATTTATTCTGTCCAGAATACCATGGAATGTATTCTGTACCACGACGTTGCTGATCTTCCCTGAAAAACGGCCTAGTAGACGACTTCAACACACCCCGATAGGCGCTGTTGAACATACGTCATGTCAAGACCTTCGATTCGTTGAGTTGCCTGTCGAACAGCTCCAATACCAGGTGGTGCAGTCATTCCAGTTTGTGAAGCAAAAATATTTGTTCCTAGAAGAAGTGGTCCCT